TTTTAAATTTGAGTAATATGAGGAGAAGTAACCTAGATAGCTAGATTAATTCAAAGTCAAAGAAATGAGACTCCACCTTATTTCGTAAATTCTAGGTAAGAAATTTTTTATTGACAGGTACCCATTTTTTTCTTCTAGGAACAAACATATATATTTTTTTCTTTAAGGAACCTATAGTAATATGATGAAAACGTTTATGTACTGAACATTGAAAATTTGCATGTGATGAAACTCAACACAGAATGGGATTCCAACAATAATATTAACATAACTTTGCTGTTTTTGTTTTCATTTATTTTGTTTTTAGTAATTAACACTATTTTTACTTATTTTTATTATTGAAATATAAATCATATATAGTATTATTAGTTGGTAAAATAAATTTTAAAAAATGTCGCTACCAAGCCAACCATTATTCATGATATCATTTGATGCTATACAAATAATTTTTTTTAAAAAAATCAGATCATCCTTGCGTAGGCTGCAACAAATAGAAGAAGAAAAAGAAGAAAAAGAAAAAGATGACTGGAACGTATGCTTGTGCAAACTACAAATTAATCTAATGACACATATATGAAGATGATAAGGTGATTTTATTATTATTCCCCAATAAATTAAAGAGCTAATATATATGAGATAAGATGTCATGTTTTGTATTTGATTCGACTAATTCTTATAATTAGAGTGTATTTGGTTTAAGGGGAATGAAGAAGAAAGTTTAATTTAAAGAAAATAGGAAGATAAGTCTTTTAATTAATTAAATCATGATAATTTTAAATATTATAATCTGTTAAATTAAAAATTCATCACACTTCCTCCAAACCAAACATATCCTTAGTGTAGCGTTCGTAGTACAAATAAGCTGCTAAAATCGAGGGTCTGTTGGTGCGACCTAGGACTTTTCAGCTCGTCTATAGATTTTTGTACGTCCCGTAGCTGCCTTTTGAGGTCTGCATTTTTTCTTATCAGTTCTTCACTATGTTTGGACGAGTTAGGCTCGTTATTTATCTTCCCACTTCCCCTTAGCCTGGTCGGCACTACTATGTTGCTTAGAGCGGGGGAGTTTCGAGTTGCAACAACTGCAGCTGGTTGCGCCTCCCTGTTCAACAAAGGAATCAGGTGATCATCAGGGATCAAGCGGGCAAGGATTTTACCCATTGCCATTTCAAGAACTTTGGTTCTCTCTTCGAGCTCGGTTGTCTGAGCAGGTTCTGTTGACCTTTCAGGTCGTTCATGCTGTGAATTATATGATCTAGAATGTCTTTGCCTTGTTCCTGTTGGAACTTGGAACTGTTCAGGCCGAGTTGCATACCCAGTCGGTGTTCTTTCATCATCATCGGTTTCACTTACTTGATCCTGTTCTGCTCCTTTGACGAAAAGGTTTCTTGGCATTGGCCTAAAGTCATTCAAGCTGGGCTCAGATAGTTGAGCGTCCTTCTGTTCATCCATTTCATCTCTTGGAGGGCGAATTCCGATAAAGGTACGGACCATTTTGTCTTTCTGCCGGCTAAACTACACAGCTTCTTGTTCGGTTTCCCACAGACGGCGCCAAATGTTTGGGCAGCTTCACAGTCCAACACTATTGAAGTTCTCAACTGCTTCTACACCTGTAAATCCCGAGGATGTTTCCTCGGGAAAAACACTTCGACACTTAAGTCAGCAATACTCGATGTTCTAGAGAGAGATGCTCTCAAGGAGTAATTACAGAGAGAGAAGCGTAGAGATTAATTACCTTCATTGGAGGTAGTTGGGGGTATTTATAACCCCAAGTGTTGACATGCATCTGTACATGTAAGCATCTCATTGGCCCACGTGGAGCTTGTCACATAAGTATGCTTGCCCTAGTGCTCCCTCAACTTGGGCTAGTAGGCGGTAACCTAGGCCCGTTATGCACAGGCCTGTTTGGATGTTGAGCCTATGTTGGGCCTATTCCAACAAAGGGGAATGAAGAAGAAAGTTTAATTTAAAGAAAATAGAAAAGGAAGATAAGTTTTTTAATTAATTAAATTATGATAATTTTAAATATTATAATCTGTTAAATTAAAAATTCATCACACTTCCTCCAAACCAAACATATCCTTAGTTTAGCATTCGTAGTACAACAAGACCATAAGCTTGTCTATGTTTATTTGAAAAGTATGAGAATACGATGAATCATTTTGGTTGACATATATATTTTTTATTGCTACTTCCATTTTTTTTTTTTAATTTCTTGTTGGATTGATACTGTCCAGGTGAAAATAATTGGGAGAAATAAAAAAATTAATTATGTAATAATATTTGATTATGTAGTTTCCATTTTAACTAACCGTAAAAAAAAAAAAAAAGTCAAATTTGGCTTGTTTGACCGATTGGGTAGTTCCCACCTCTTTATGAAAAATCCAACATTTTCAAACTTTCTTAAATGACTGAATCCAATCAATATTGGAGACTCGAGGTTCCAGGGCCCTTTTTCTTCTGTCTCCATTCTCAGACAACGTCTTCAACCGCGTATACAAATTTGTATTACCTGTTTCTAGAAACTTCTCATACCTAATGGCTCTTACCTTAATATAATAATAATAATTATTATTATTATCATTATTATTATTTAGTACAATGAATTGCTCACCTTATAAAGAAGGTATATATATATATTGGATAAACCTTATAATGCATAGAGATACTTTTATTAGTTAATAAGATAGATTAAAAAAAAATTTGGAGGGATTTTTTTCAAGTTATTAATAAAAGTCAAATACTCAATGAACTAAACTCAAATATTAAGATTTAAAGATGAATTATTGGAGTTAAATATTCAATTCAATAGATTTTTAAATTTTAAATTAAATAATATTGATATTTTAATTTTTTTAAAATTAAAACTGATATACTAATAAAACAAATACTATAAATCAATAAACATCCACACATTTAATCTCCATATACGGTTCAAAATTTTAAAAGTGAGTTTAAGAGAAAAAGTGTAGATAAATATTTTGTGTATTTAAAGATATAAGTTTTATTATATTTTAATTAAGATTATTATAATGTTATGATATAAAAAAAAAAACTTGATAGGGTAATTCTACGTTAAAATTTTAAAAATTTTAATTAAAAATTAAAAATTTAAATTTTAAATCGAATGGAGTAAGGGTGACGTGGAGAAAAATTTAAAAATAAAAAAGATTATTACTAACCCATAATTGCCAACCGGGCATGTGGCTCAATTAGTTGGCTCCCAAGTTTTAGGGCTTGGGTGAGGCGGAGGTCACGCCGCCTCAAATGAGGGGGTGAAACTGAAAAAATTCCAGCTACTAACAAATTAATTTTACTAATTTTCTAACCATCTATCTGGTCAAAAAAAAAATTACTAACCCATAATTAGACGAAAAAAAAAATCTAGAAAAGAGACAAAACCATCGTGTCGTGATTTTTCGTTTTTTGAAAAGATTCGACAATATCGTGTTTTGAATCTGGTAGTACAAGATTTTTGTCTATTAGCTTTTCACCAAGTCAAAAAGACTTGAACATCCAAGAAAAGTCAAGAAATCAACAAAAAAAAAAAAAAAAAA